TGTGATCAGTTAATAAAACAAGTAGACCGCCTTGACTGGTGCAATTATAATCCTTATGCCACTGGATATAAAACTAAACTTGGGTATTCACATTCTCCAGACATAACTTGAAAATAATAGAGTGAGTCCAGGGGCAGGTCATTCCTTTTAGTCCAGGGAAAAATTAAAGCAAAAAACATACTGTACAAAATAATTAACTGAATGCACAGAACTATATAGGTGTCACCACACAGAATGCAGGAGGAACAAGTGCTACTATACGTTATCTGATTTGTTGAACATAGTGTTTTCTATTGATTTTAACAACTTATTATTTGCTGACTATTACCTAAGTTCCAGTGAAGGGAGAAGTTAAACACAGAAAGCTTTCCTGCTAACCAATCATATTAGAAAATTGTTGTGAAGAAAAAAACCTGATCCTTGTTTCTTTAATCGAGCCCAGGTGTACTGAGGCCCTCAGGTAACCCCTGGCCGTCAGACTTTTTGCAGATTTGGTTGACCAGATGTTGAGTGCTGGCTAGGGACCTGGACTGAAAGGACACTTTAACCAGATGACAAAGTGTCTGACTAAATTTTATGTAACTGACAGTATCAGAATGACAACCAACACTTTTCTATTCTGGCATTTCCTCTGTGAGACATAGTCTTTATAGGATGTAGTCTCTGATTGCCCAGTCACTGTTGGATGTATTAAACAGCAGCTGAACAAGAGGCATCAAGAATACTCATTGCAAAACTAGTTCTATATTGTCCTGCTTGAATTTTGATTAAACTGGTGTCCTAGCAAATTTTTTAAATGCTGAATCCACACATCACAAAAAAATCCTTGTTCTTCTTTTTGCTAATGGAATTGTCCCTCGACAGTGCTCTGTGGTAGGCATTGCCACTAGAAATGTTTTATCACACTGTCTGTAGTAAAACCAAGATCTTTTTTTCTTTTTTCCTTTTTTTTTTTTTTTCTTAAAATGCCAGGAAACTAAAGGAAAGAGGAGCCATAGTAGTCCTGGTTTCCTGATTAATTCCAATTGCAGATGTAATGGTGTTTTATCTTTCAGATTCCTCTTGCAGCTTCTCTAGAGTGTTTTCTGCCCTTGACTGTTCTGCAGTGTTGCTGTGATGCAACCTGAGTTCAGAGGTGGTTGCAGTGCAGTGCTAGATGAACCACATCCTGCACATTTTTTATGTTAACTGAAGTATACAGAACACTCTACACTCTCCTGTAGTGACAAGCACTTAAGTAATGCATTCATATCAGTCTTCTGGTTTTACTTATTTTCTGTGATTGTCCTCAACTGTGATCACAGCAGGCCAATGTATTTTTCTCGATTAATTGATATAGTTTTCATCTGCATTTCACTCTGCCAGAAAAAAAAAAAAAAAAAAAAAAAAAAAAAAAAAAGGCTCTTAGGTATTCAGTAGAGTCACTGATTTCATAGGAAGTAGGAGAGAAAATCTGGCTGTAAGCTCTGTCGTAAAGGCATTATATATTTTCATGTTCCAAGTTCCTTATAAATTAGTGTCTGGAAATTGCAGATATACATAACATAATGCACACTTCACATAGGCAAACATTTCTAATGAGGAAAGGAGGTCAATTTTTGGCTCTGTCAGCAAAACAGGATGCAGCTAATAATGATGATGTGGAGGGGATAAGCTGGAAGGTGGGATGATCAGAAAGAGATTGGATATCAGAGGAAGCAGAGCACTGACAGCTTTTCCATCTTCAGCATTTTATATCTGAATGTAGCAGAGTGAATGCTGTCATTAGAATAAATAAAATAAACTACAAGTGAAGTACAAAGCACTATAAATAACAAAATTCATATGGCATGAAGTTGATGAGTACTGTGCTCAATAGAGAGTTCCCATCGCCCATATTATTCTACACAAATCAACCAGAATTCATGTGAGATTCTGTTATTGCCTGATCTGTTCTCTTATTTCAGCTATCAGAGACAGAACTAAACAAGAAGGAAGTAAATGCAGAAGCAAAAAATGTTTTGCGGAATTGGTTAAGTGAGAGGTAGAGTTGAAGAGGTAGCTTCATACCACCCCAATCTTGCTGTTTCAGCAAGAGTTACATCTGCTCCTTGCTGCAATGACAAGCTCAGATTGTCATACATGTTGATTCGTTTTCACCTAATAATAGTAAGTAGCTCCCACTCAAAATCAGTTTCAACTTTATCGGCAAAGCACTGCATATTTGTCTTCACTATGACTGTGTTGCATAAAGGAACAATTCAATTGAAAATTAAATTAACAATAATTAAAAATGTGCCTTTTTAAAGGAAAATTAGTGCTATGCTAAATTTCAAGGCATCAGTTATGTTGGGGTTTTTTTCCTTAAAAAAGGTAGAATGAGTCTTTCTAAAAAGCTAATTATATAAATATGTACACATTAATTTACATAATTCAAAATGGACTTTAACCTCAAAAAGATACAAAGGCTCTTCAGTAACTTCCTAGAGTTTTAAATCTGGCAAAAGCACTATAGTTTCTGTGGTAATTATATTTCCAACACATTTGGATATACTAATTGGATCTAAGTTCTAATTAGTTTCTTTATGTGACTAAGAATTACAATCACTGAATTAATTTAATGCACTTTTGTTCTGAACTTAGTGCCATTTTCATTATTTTTAGTACAGAAAATGTAGCCTATCAAATGCTTTGCTTTATAGGGTGGCAGTAGTTTATCACATATAGTATACAGTGCACACACTTCAAATATATTCAGTACATTTCACTACATTATTACAGGTAACACACTTCAGCAATTAGATTATTCAGCTCAGAGTGTTGGAGGGCTTTGCCAGAGGAGTGATGAGGACCTGAAGTGTGTCAGCAGTCTATCCATACTGCTGTGAACAGCTAGACACTCTATGGAGGTATAGAAGAAGCAGAGATGGGTGTTATAATCTGTTGTTGGTCTTTGTGATCAGATGGGAACATGAGATGAGGAAACCAAACAGACATAGCTTGTGATTTTACTTAGAAAGAGCTGTTGGAAAGATGAGTAATTGTGAGAGATTAATGCAATGCCTTGCACTTTAGTTCCCCCTCCGATTTCTACTTCCAATGATTTCTGCTGGAGTTCTGAGTCCAGTAGATCCTTGATTTAGTTATTACTTGAGATTAAAAGTATGCTTAGCATTACCCTTCTTTTGACAATAGTATAACCTTAAATTACCCAGACAATAGTATAACCTTAACTCTGAGCACTTCTGAAGATAGCAGGGAGAAATGACTATGTTATTTTAAGGCCATCTTCTATTGGGATTCATAGAAAAATTTATGTTGAAAAAGACTTTTAAGATCAAGTCAAACCTAACCTCTGTATCATTGCAGAAAAGTTTGTGTTTTTTCATTTTCGAGGCACCCATTTCTTAAGGAGGCATCTTCAAAGAATTGATACAAATATATTGAAATTAAATAATTTAGAAGTTTCTAAAATTGCCTAATGGTTATAATGAAGAAAAATATTTCAAATGGTGCATTTCTTAAATTGCTAGATGTGTGTACTCGGAGTTTGTTCCTTGACTCCTATCTCACTTTGAAAGATCTATTAAATACATATGCAAAGGCTTTTCCCATGAAGGACTGAAAATAATGCTTTCTGTAAATTTGTGTTTAATCGTGGTCAGCAAAGGTACTCCCCTTCTTTCATAGCCCCCTTCAGTTGGCTCAGGCACCCCACCATTTCTGTGACTGTGCATTAAAGTACACTAGTGTTTTAGATGTTTTATGGTTGATATTTCTCACGGATTATAGGGTTGAATTCTCTGAGAGACTAGTTTTAGTAGAGGCCACTTGGCCCAGCAGTAACCTACTAATATTAATCCTGCTTTTGTCAGAGCAAGACCTTTTAAATAAGGATGTGAAAACCATGAAGTTTAGAGGCTTACATTAACTACCCAAGTCAGATGATGAGCATCCCGCCATAGATTTCATGCATCGTCCATGGAGAGGGTAATTGAGAGCAATAACTGGTCCCTGCAGTTGCCTACCTCTTTAGCTGTATAACACGTTTATATAGGCAGTTAGTTTACATGCCAAAATTATCTGAAGTCAGTCATTGTCCTTCTGTTGGGTTTCAGATTTAATACTGCTAATTGTACAGGCCAGATGAATGTGGTAATGAATTCAAAAAATGAAACCAGAAATGTTTGTATGAAGTGCCAAGAGATGAGTGTTTGCTTGGTCTGTTTCTCTGTACCCAAGATAATCATCCACCATCATGTAAAAATGTAGGCAAGTTACATTTTCAGAGAAGCTAAATTACACAGCACTATCTACTAAATTCATATTGAAAGGCAGTCCTAGAGAGATCCATGAGAAAAGTCTTCTGTCCATAGAAGCCCAAGAAATACAATAACACCAATACAAAGCATCTTATAGCTGAGTTCCTTTTTCTATATTATCTGTTGCAGTCCTTTCTCAATACCGTGATGTGCCTGTTCAATCATCTTTTCCTTAATCATCTTTAAATGTGATTGTTAACCGTGCTAAAAATCACTTCTTTTTCAGCATCAATGAGTAGTATAAAATTTAAATAAAACTACTGTCATTCCTGTCATCAGAGTTCTACTAGAAAAGATGGGCTGGAGTAGACAGCATGCTAAAATTATGACAGCTATTATTTCTCCAATTAGTGTATTACTGAAAGTAAAGAAGTATTGTTACAGCCATGCTACTTTTAAAATATTTTTCATTAATATAGAAGTCCTCCCTGAACTCTTCTAAAGCAATACATATACCCCCAAACCTTGTATGCTGTCATCCATTGCACACTGATATTTAAAAGCACAAACCGATATCCCTAATTGCTTTATTTGAAATTCAAAGATGAATCTGTGTGCAAGCCTTTCCCTGACTTTCCATCCCACTGATTCCAGAAGGTGTTCTGTTTCTTTCATATGTTGCTGCTTAAAGCCACCTAAGAGGAATGACTGGCACAATTTTATGGGCAATGAGGAAATGATTTCTGTTTTCTCTTTCAGCTTGGCTGCTGGAATCCCATCACTGGTCTGAATGGGTCACTAACAGACAGAAAGTTGGAGAATAACATGCGAGGCGTGGTTCTGCGTGTGGTGACTGTGCTGGTAAGCAGATGCCCATCCTTTTGCACTAGGAGAAATGTATTTTTCTTCCTCTTGCCTCATCTTTTTTATTAAGTACACCATTTTATCAAGAACTTAGTCGGCATTCGAGTGTCTGATTGCAGCTTGTCAATACCAGAGCAATGAAGTGATTTCCACAAAATAAAATTATCAGTACAGTTCATTCAGAGTGAATCAATCTCATTAGAATGTGTTTCTTCCACAGATACATACTAAATTATATAACACAACTGTATGAATTGATAAAGGGCAACTTCAAGTGCCCTGTTAGCTAAAGTTGCCTGGTTGAAACTCTAAATGATTTGTAAGATGTAGCTGCCCTCCAATTACCTTGCTAAATTGAGTGCAATCTTACACAAATTGCCACACTTGGTAAATATTCAAGGTCAGCTTAGGGCGAGTAATGTTAGTTCAGTAAAACTTTTGCTGCCCACTCCTAGCTCTTCTTCAGCCGGGTTCTTCTCCTGTGTGGACACCTTGCATTAAGCAGCTGCAGCACAGTTGTTGGCTTAAAGCTGAACAATGTTCACCAGACTAGGAAGGTATTTTGTGGTATGAGGCTAGTGTATTCCATGTCATAAACTTTGACTGTTGGAGCAGAAGTTGTTAGAGAAGAAAGAAAGGAAAGAAATAAAGGAATGAAAGAAAGGAAAGGAAGGAAGAAAGAAAGGAGGAAAGAAGGAAATAAATAACTGAGATGTATAGGCATCTTTGAACCAATACCCAAACACAAAGTTAACCCATGGCTGCAGAACTGTAGAGGTTATTTTGAGCAACTTCCCTCTCTCTACTATCTACTCACGTTTTTCGTTACCAATTCATCATTTGAGGGCCTGACCACTTGCTCATAAAGAACAAGGCAAGAGCAGTTTCCATGATTTGCCTCGCTGACATTGCATGATGAAGGAGAAGGCTCAGTCAGGAGTGGAAAGTGAAATCACCAGAGCGTGCCAGTGCCACAGACAGGGCAGTTTTGTACCCCTTCAGTTATTTATCTGAAGGGTCTTTAAAAGCTATTATCTGCCAGGGTGTCCAGTCTGTTCCAGCTCTTAGTACACTAGAAAACTTCCTGTGATAATATCTACAAAACAAAACAAAAAAATCCCAACCAAATAAGAAAGGTGAATGCACAGAAAAAGACAAAGGAGTAGGGTGGGGTTTTCATACTTTTAAGTGCATGTTCATCAAAATAGCATCATGGTAGCAGTAGCTGGTCTTTATGTATTGCCTGATACTCATGTTTCAGCATAATTTTCTGTTGACGCAAGATGTTGTCTAGCAAAATAAATAAAAATTTGTCTTGGATTTTATTTTTTACTTCTTCTTCCCTTGCTTTCCACTCTGATTTAATCTCCAGTTATTTTAGTTAGCTTGCCAGAGAGCATTCTTCTTTCAAGTCATTATAGCATGAATATTTAGCAACTTGCAAAAATACAAGTCATTAGTTATGCTGATAGGATTCTATATTAATAATAAAAACAGAAGGCAGACATTTAAAGTTCAGCATGCGGCACATCGCAGTTCAGTTTCCTCACTGCAGTCCTCACATGCTGCCTCATATGAGCACACAAAAGGCATTTGGTTTTGTTGACAGTTTTAAAGCACAACTGGTGACAACTTCCATGCACAACTAGTGAAAAACACAATTAGTCTGAATTGTGCTTTGTTAAAATCTGCTAACATCGTTTTGCTAACTGACTCTCCTTTTATGTAGAATGTGCACTGAAGGCAATATAGGGGAAAGATGCAAATGGTTCATTTTGGCTTCATAGCATAAAACTTCCTTTATTCTCTTAAAGTCACAAAGCTGTGCATGGCTGGTCAGTGCAATCTGGGCAAAACCAACTGTGAACCACACTACACATTGAGATTCATTTGATTTTATTCAGCAAAGATGAGAGGTGAGGATTTTGTAAACTGCGTGAATAAAGGATTAAGCAAATACTTCTTTAAACTCATGAGCCAGAAGCAGTATTTTTCACTAGCAGTTCCCTTGACTGTTGGTACTTTCCCCCAAATGCCAGAAATCAGGAAGATAAAATACCATTTCTCCCTCACCCACAAACTCTAATGGCTGAGAGAGAGAGAAACAGGCAGACAGACACGAACAGAAAATGAAGCTACTAACCAAATGCCTGAAGAGAAGTTGGACAGTGTAGATGCCAAAATTGCAAAGTGCTAATTATTTCTAACCTCTTCTAATCTTTGGATATCCACAGATGTTGCTGCCACCCCTGTGGGTGACAGAACATTATTTAGGGTTCTTGCCCTCTAGCAGTTTCTCTTACTGCCCTTACTATGCATAAGTAAAGGTTATTCATGAAGACATGCTGGCTTCTAAATAGCTGTCATTAGCATATCATTACTTCAAACATATATGTCGCTATAGGATAAATTTATAGAACCATTACTTGTTGGTAATTATAGCTTGGTTCCTACCTTTGTTCACATAGCGTATTAGAATGGTGCAATTATGTCATTTTTATTTGAATAGAATGAATAAATAGATATAATATTTGAATTTGAGTGGAGTCTTAGCTGGGATGCCGTGACACTGGAAATGAACTAAATATATATTTTAAAAAGTATTACTACTTGTTTTCTCTCATTTTAAAATTAGATTCTTGGTCCCTCTGTTGTTACTCAATTTAGAAAAAACTTGTTCTTAGAAAAACTCGGTCAACAAAGACACTGACTAGAATTTCATTAAGCCCTATTAATTTTACAGCTACGATCAGTGTTCACCTGGTTTTATATCTGCTGGATAGAACAAAACTGAGATTTATATTTAACCTGTGTGATGAAAGTATGTGGTTCTTGCCTTTGATGTGAGTGCAGGAGGGATTTCACCCATCAGCTTTATTTTAGCAATGATCTTTCTTTATACTACTGCCTTTCCTGTCTTTCTCTGAGTTTTTCAATTAAGTCAATACATTTCTGCTAAAAGTAAAGAATCTATTATTGACTGTGAATTATTTGTTATTGTTATTAATTCTGCCAGTTTCTAACAGCATGGTCTTGATCTGGGAAAACAAAGCAGCTTACGTTAGAATTAAATAATAATAAAAAATACCTTTGAATATGAATGGATTTCTTTTTCACTGAGATTTGAGAAGTTAGCATTAATTTGTTAATCTGTTAACGATTTGAATCTCTCATGTCTTTCTTGATAGCAATCCTTCTCCTCTTCCAATTTCATTTTGTTATGCCTTCGGGTTGAAAAGGACTCGTTCTAAAAATCGCAGTAGAATTTGAGAGGATTGCAAATTGCAACACCTGGGTAATACTGCATTATACTTATTATGAAATGAAACATTCTGCAGTCTGAAAATGATAAATGATTGCGACTAATTTCCCCAAAGCAGTCCTTCAAAAAGCGAGTGCTGAACAATTCCCATCATCTGCTTCCATCTACTAATTCCTTTCCCTAGATAAATTTAATAATTATGGGCTATGTTTCTGCAAATCCAAAACAAAATCTCTTTGTGAATATGACAGAATACAGTATGTCTCCAAATTGGAAATCTCTGGTTCCATTTGGCAGTGAATCCTGGCTCCTCTGAAGTTAATGGGAATATTCTCCTCTGCATAAATAGAAATAAGAAATAATTCTCTGTGTTGTATTCTGAGGGGAACTGTAGTCATGCCTGTGTACACGTGATTCAGCATTTTAATCTGACTTGGATTACTACCACACTTTCTACGCTTCTAGAAAACGTTTATTTTGTCTTACTTAAAAGTCTCTCTCTTGGACTGCTTCCCCACATGCAGCCAAAGTTTGAACTTTGTGTTTGACAAGTTACTTTTAAGTTCAAGTGACTTGCTAGTGAATTTCTGAAATGTATTCTGAGATTCTGAAATGTAGCTCAATCAAAGATCAACATAATAACTCCAAACAAATTCAGATAGTCTTGAATGAGCAATTGTCCAAGAACAAATTTAGCTTGATATCCATTTTGGCTATTTCAGTTTATCCTCCTCCTTTTCAGCTGCTCTGTTTTATTGAAAGGGAGCTAGAATACAGCAGATATTCTCATAATATCATTTTAGTAGCAGTGGCAATTAATGAATTATTCATATGAATTTTAAGCCATCAGAAATGGAATGAGATTTGGCCTGTTTGACAGTGAATAGGCCAGTAGGTATTTGCAAAATCATGTTTCTAAAAAGGCCTCTGTTATTTGAAAAAGGAAAAAGTTTGAAATTCCCCCTTTTAAGGAATTAACACCTTGATTGAAAAGTACAGAGCCTTTTCTGAAAGTGCATAAGGTATAACTTCCTAATGGTGCAAAATATTTTCATGTAAAGTCACAAATATTCTATAGAGCTCCCGAACAGGAGGCATGTATTTTCATATGTGGATGGTTCTGAAAATGCAGACAAGATGAATGAAAGAAAAATAATAGCGTGTGATACTGAATTATGCTTTGCCATACATCCCTATGCGCTATTTCTTGAGAGTTATTACCTAGGTTACTTGCACAGAGCTAGGTGGACCAGAGGCAATTTGGTGACTCTTGACTCTAGGTGGGCACAGTGGGATGTGGTGTACTGAGAGGGCTGGCAGAAGGGTAGACATAAAAAAAAAAAAAAAAAAAAAAAAAGAAAGAAAAAAAAGCATCATTTACACCAGGGAAAGTATTATGATATGTGGACTAGTTTAATTCTCAATGGTTGACATTAAATTCACCAGCATTTGTTGCCCAGAGTAGGAAAGAAACAAACCTCAAAGCAGATAATATCTTTAGAGACATGAGCTGGTACAAAGGTCTGCATCATCAGACCCTTTTTCTATTGAACTTACCCCTCAGAGAAAAGGTGAAAAGTAAGATATGAAGCTAAGTCCTGGTTTTAAAAGCTGAGACACTTAGTCTTTGGGATTTGACTTCCAACACTGGTTTAAACAAAGTTGCAGAGCAACAGTCAGAATTGATAAAGGATTAAAAAAAGACAGGACAGAAATATCAGTGAATGAATGTAAA